GGAGGGGAGGATGGCTGGGCCGGGTGCTGGTGTTCAGCCTAGCGCTGCAACACGAGCGCGCACTTCGTCTGCAGCTGCGCAGACGGCACTGGAGTCCTCCCTGCTTTCACGGTGGGCAAACGCTAAGGAGGCGACTGAGCCCTAACTGAATCTCGGTGTTAGAAAGCATTTACTCCTCGGAAGGGGAGGAGCGAGGATATATGGCTACTTGGGCCCTTCTGTACCTTGGGAGAAGTTTTTGGAAGGATGTCTGGCTCACTCACGAGCTGTTTGTGCCTCTGCTGATGGTAACCCAGTATTCCTCAAACACCAAACCCACGTGCCAGAGGAGCCAGTGCAGGGTTACGTGCGTCATCTCGCTAGGTGCGACGAGACATAAAAATCTGTTTTCGCCACAAACCGCACATGATCGAAATGACACAGCAGAAACCTCTCCCAGCCCGTGTCGCTGAATTACCGCGGGCTGTGAAACGAGAGAGAGCAGGAAAGTACCAACACACACTGATTACAAAAGAGAGAAGTTTTATTTTTTTGTAGGAACAACAATTTCAATCTGCTTATTGATCCCACGGTTAAAAAAAAGGCAAAGGCAGGAAGCAAGGCTCAGGAAGGAAAGCTGCAACGTGCATTACGCATCCCAGCCCCTGAGGCAGGTCACACAGGGGTGCGCTTCCAGTAATCCAGGGGTAAACCAGAGGGAAGCTCAGTAAACTGCACGCAAACTACTAAGGTAGTTACCGTAACTCTAGTCTTCAACTCGGTAACTTTTCTTCAGGAAGATCTTTGCTGGTACACAGACGTTTAGAGGCTGGTTTTGCTGGAAGAAGGTTGGAAAAAGGGAGTTATTCAACGTACAGTGAACAGACCGAACTAAACCACAGGCCATGTAACGCTTCGGGGATTTAGCAGGAAGAGATGGGAGTTAAAATTGGGATTAACAGTCACAAATGAAAACTGTTAAGCAGTAACGGGGGGTCTTTGCTAAATGCCAAAAAGGACTTTCAAAAAACCTGTACTGAGCTCCATTTTGACCTACATCTCAGTGCTACCCAACAGCATGAAAATGAGTTTCGTGGCGTTAAAGCCTTAGCAAAGCCTCCCTTCCTCCAGTTCAGGTAACTGCAGGCTGAAAGCCTCCCCCCTCCCCTCCCTCGTCACCCAGTGCACTGCCCAGGATCACTCAAACCAGCTAGCATCTACAAGCACTTCAAGAAACAAATGACCAATTATTAAAAAAAAAATTGAAATAAAATTCAGCGTTAAAGATCTCCAAGGATATCCATTTCTCAATTAAATTGTACGGAACCGGATTCCGCTGATGTAGTGACTCCAGACCTAAACCAAGTCTGCGCAAGCATAAGGGAGGGCAGAACTGGGATCAGTCACTTGGAAGTAGGCCGGTCCACCCCGGGTGAAAACGGAGCTCCGGTTCTCACGTGTTTAGCTAACGGAAACGCGTGCTTGGCGTTGGACACGCCGCCCTCCCCCAGTTCGCAAGCAGAGGTCTGCTTTACGGCCGGCGGGATGATCCTGTCCAGCCCACTGTTTCTTCGGCGGAGGCTCAGGCTGGGAGCAGAGGAGCGGACCACACGTGCAGGCGCTCCGTCCCGCCGGCCGCTCCGCGCTCACAACAGAGCGCAGCGTCGCTGTCGCACGGCTGAAGCGGCGCTGACGAGGTGGGACCAGCCTGAGAGCGCAAAAGGCGCACCCTGAAATCCAAGCGCCGCGTGGGAGGCTCGTCCTTACCGTCATCGGGGCACGGCCTCTTGTACAGCACGTCCGCTGGAACCCGAAAGCTGATGCACAGCATCTCCTTGTTCGGGGCAACATTTCTGACCAGGTACGTAGAACAGCGTCCATCCAGCGAGGTGCCCAGTGCAGCTTCAGCTCGCTCCTGAATGTCCTTGGTGGGGTCGGCGTGCTTGGAGAAACCGTAGCAGTGCACCATGGGAAGGCCAGCAGCGCTGCACGGCTCTCCGACTAAGAGGTGCCTGAAAACATCCAGAAATTCAATAGCCAGAGCTGGCAAGTTCATGACTATATGAAAAGAGGTTTTCTGTTCTTCTTTCAGAAGCGGGAGCTCTTTACTCAGTTCTTCTCTTACCGGCCCCAGGAGGAAGTCCCTGCCATCCATGTTGAACGCTTTTATTTTGTTGTCTACTTTGTTGAGCTTGCAGTTGTGCAGGAGCCAGCTGTAGGAGTCGGGATTGAGATCGTTTGCAAACACGTGGCACTTCTTCTTGGCTGCTGGAATAGCAAAAGGGCCAACCCCAGCAAAGACATCGAAAAGGACATCGCCGGGCTTTAAAAGCTCAACGATGCGGCCGTGTTCTGTGGAAAGACGTGGGTTCCAGTAGACTTTAGAAAAGTCCAATTCATATGCAATATTATTTTCTTTGACCTGAAAGTCCAAAACATTTTCTTAAGCCTCTGTGTTCAAATTCCAGGCATGTTCAAGCATTGTCAGCAAATAAGCGAAAAACCAAGGTGCTTTATCAAAAGGCAATGCGCACACTGACATCTGTCCCATTAGTAGGACACATGAATCTTGTATAAAGCGATCTGCTCCTCAGAAATAGCCGTAAGGAGTGCTCCAGCCGTCAATCCAGACGGCCGGCTTATGCATGTCTTAATCACCAGGTGGAAATAAAGCAGCAACTGAAAATGACCATAAAAAACCCCAAACAACTGAGGCTTTTCAAAAGCTTTGTGGCTGGCTGACAACTCCTTTATTGAAAGCAGACCTTGGGAAGATCCCTCAAGTCCTCCTCAGCAGAGTCCACGTAGTAAATAAGGGCCCGAGAATGACACAGCACAAGAATGACAACAGTCAGCCAAATTCAAAGCCATTGGGAGTTCGAAAAAAGACTGTATGATACCTCTCAAGCTGACAGAGTCTGGCATTTGACCCAAACCCAAACTTTGGGATGACCACTACCTTAAGAACAGACCTAAAAAGACACAGTATTTACTCAGATGAGAGTGGGATGCAAGCTATCACTTGCTTTGCACCACCACGCTTGGATTGCGTGACTGAAGTAACTTCGGATCCAAATCGCTGCGCCGTTTGCTTCGCCAGCAAGAAACACCCTGCAGCGCAGCTGCATCCTCGGCGCGCAGCGCAGCGGTGTGCTGGATTACGCTTCGTGAGCTAATGCCATCTGCGTAGTGTCTGATTGTCGCTTCTCCCCTGACAATTCAAATGCCTGCTCTGTGCACGTACAGGGTGTTCTACCAAACTATTCAACTGGTGATCTAATGTTTTATCTTCTAAAAGTACAAAACTTCTGACAGTTAGGAAAAATATTTTTTGGTCAAACCAGTGGCCAGGTTTCCAGCTAAAGACAAGAAACCCTACATAAAGAATACCTGGCAGTTACCTAGTGCTTTACACCTGAAAAATGTCAGAGCAGAGGGAAGATGAGGTTTGTCTTGCTGCTGACAGAGAAGGAAAAAGGCACAGGCAAAATCCTGCCGAAGGTGCTGCAAAGCCAGCGAGATTTAAAATCACGGCCTTATGTTCTGTACCAGCCACGGTACAAGACTTGGTGAAATTACGAAACGGCATTTGCTTCGATCAAATCCACTAAATATTTTGGCTTTAGAGTGAGAAATACCCCTCGCTACAAGTTTGTAATGAGTGTCTCTGTAAGAAACGTTCACTTCAGCTGCTTTTACACCCCATGAAAATCTAGGCTGTCACCTGGAAAGAATACTTGTCTTCCTGATCCCTGTGGCTGTGAGTTTGCTCCTGGCAGAGCAGGACAAATGGATGTAGAAGCAAGCGCCAACCCTGACGCTCTAGAGCAGGCGTCAGGAGGGGCACTGCGCAACGGGATGGTCTCAACAGCATCTCTTCATCACGTCTTTCCAGCAGACGTCCTGGGGTTTTAGCGTACTGAATTTAAAATAACGGGAATAAAACCTGTACCTTGGTTATGAGTTTGCTCTCTCCAGCGAGCACTTCCATTTGAAAATTTCTGTACGTGCTGTCAATAATACTGGTTTTATTCACTACACAGGTGATTCCTGGATTCTTGTCAATTATAACCTGGCCTGAAAGAGAGGGCAAAAGATCTTCCGGTTAAGGGACTACCACCTCTTCCTGTTCACAGTTAAATTAGCAAAAGTACGCATGTATTAGAACAACTCTTCATGCCTGAGGGTTGCAGATGTGACGTCTTTGTAAGGCACAGACTAAAGTGACCCAATGCTCAGGGAAGTGAGACCACAGTTCCTGTAAGAGGAGGGAACTGCGCCTTCTGTGCACAGCTACAGCATCAGCACAAGGCTACCTAAAGTCAACATATAAAGCAAGGAAAAGCACTCACAAGTCTTCTTTGTAGAAGTAATAATTTGCTGATAGAATAACTGTTAAAATATCCTTTTAACAATATACAAAATATACGAATTACTTTTTTGTGAAGAGTTGGTGTACCTACCAATCAAATGCCTGTATGGTAGCTGGTGATCTCTGAGATTCAGATGAGCTATGTGACCAACACGGCTAAACCCAGAGGTGACTTCCTGACCTTCAGGGAGGACTGCTCGCAGGATCTCCTCTGACTTGAAATTCTCGTAAGTCAGCTCCAAGTTGTACTTGGACACCTCCGGACAGACATTAAGCTGCTTCAATACCTCTTGCTCCGATTCTCCCAAGGAGAATTCTGGTATTCTGTGAGGATCCAGAATAACAAGTCTACCATCCTCATCTTCTGGATCCTCAACCACTCGCTTCAGACCGGGACGCTGTAGTACCATATGTTTTAGGGACTTCAGCAAAGTATTTACGATTTCTTTCTTGACTTTAAGAACTGGAACAACAACTGTCCTTTTAAAAGCTTCTCTGTTGAGCAGCGTCATCCCACGCACTTCAGGATGCGGCGAATACAGTTCCAGATTAGCTTTATCCTCCACAGTTTCAGGCATTGTAAAAAAACTATTTTTTTTTGCTACTACAAAGAGCCCAGGTATTCTGCCAGAATATTGCGCCAATAGCATCCGAACTGCTGGAAATGGTGTATTTGATGCAGCTGTCCTAAAATGATTGGTTTTCAGTAGTCTGGCAGAGTATCCAAATCTCCATAAAGTCCTAGAAGAGAAATTATTCATTTTATAGACATTATGTAATCATTCCACTACAAAGGCTGCAAATCACATGGATTTGCTGTTCTCTTAAACTAGAATTTCCATCTGTACCAAACAATCCACAATAGTTTAAGTAAAGCTCTTTATTATGTATTATATACTACAGATTTCTGCCCTTTTGCAAATGAATTTTTGGACTTTAACTAACAGTGAGATAATCCCCTCCTGCCAAAAAACAGTGACCTCTCTTTGTTCTGCTAAACACGATATTACTCCCAGTGAGCCAAATGGAAAAACTTCCACTGTCTTGATCCTACTGTTGGATCCCTTCTGTTTCTGATAAAATTCATTACCAAGCAGTGGTTGCTAGAAAAGTTATTCACAATAGAGGTCATAATCACTCTTTAGTCATTTCTGCCTCCCACACCCCAGTGCTAAGGGGTTAGACACTCCACCGTGTCTCTGCTCCACGTGCTGCATGCCAGAAAGCCCACAAATTAAGTGCAGAATTCCCCTGAAGGTAGAGGGAAGCATCAGTAATGCCTGCTCAAGCAACTGAACCCCTCTCCACAGTTCATCCATAGGACGGGGACTTGAAAAGTAGCTTCTTTAAATGGTTTCCTCCAGCAGAGGCAGTCACCAATGATTTAGGTAGCATGTAAGGCTCACGCTTCTCCTGACTTCTTGGGACGTTTGTTTAAAGATCAAGGGTTGATCGGAGAGATGCAAACTAGCTGTGAAAGGAAACCGGTTCTCTTGCCTGCCTGGGAGATCTATGCCCTGACGTACAGGGCTGCTGCCTTCCTTCAGGGTAACAAGCCATGCAGTCTCTTCTTCAAAAAAGGAGCTGCGCCTGACCCTTAGCCAAGCTGGCCCTGCTCCCATCCTCCCTCCCCCACAAATCCCAGCTCCTTGCTGGGACTCCCTACATCTCACAGCCAGCTCTTTTCCCTATGCCAACTTTTTGGCAAAGCACACCTCCTTTTCCTTGTTGACTCAAAAATAAAGATTACATTCTTCAAGTCTGCTACAGAGAAGAAAGACCTCATCCAGAGGCCAGAGCATCCCAGTGTTTTTCTTTGGCCTTCCCCTTCTCCCTTGCTGGAAACTCCTGGCCTGGTTCGCACGGGCTCCTCGGTATTCGTAACATCACAGAATGGTTTGGGTTGGGAGGGGCCTCACAGATCACCCAGTCCCAACCTCCTGCCATGGGCAGGAACAGCTTCCACCAGAGCAGGGTGCTCAGAGTCCTGTCCAGCCTGGCCTTGAACATCGCAAGGGAGGGGGCAACCACAGCTTCTCTGAACAACCTGGGCCACGGCTTCTCCACCCTCAGAGTGAGGAATTTCTCCCTTATATCTAATGTAAATCTATCTGGTTTTAGTCTAAAGCCACTCCCCCTTGTCCTATCACCCCAAACCCTTGTCAGAAGCCCCTCTCCAGCTCTCTCGCAGCCCCTCCTGGCACTGGCAGCCGC